TTTAAGTAATGTCTTAAAACGCTAATGTGGCTCTCTGATTGGTTCGTTATTTCTTCAGACTATACTTTAAAACAGTCTTGAATATAAGCATCGACTATGAATACCGCCTACAGATGTCCTACCGCAACTACGCTAAAAGCAGAACGTCCTTCGGACGTCCTATGGACGTTAGGACATAACCGTAGGACTTTTGAGGGCATACAACGGACGTTCAAAAGACGTCTATGTGTTGTGTGAGGAGTAACTATCGTGTGGCTTTTTTGAAGTGTGATCACGAAGGGTTAATATATGATATTGTAGAACTGTTTCTTGGAATCACGATACTTTAGACGATTCGGCGTTAACCATTATGTATTTTGCTCAAAAGTACAAGGAATAATAATACAATGCTTCGCTTCACGTGTACACAGAATCTCTCTCGATCACATACTTATTCTCTACTACTCGCTTATAGCGCCGCGGTGGCGCTCGCTTATCCTACGGTGGCGCTCGCTTATCGTGATTAGCCGCATGGTACTGAATACCAGAGAAGCGCTCCTACATTCGGCTATTCTGACCGCTGACCGACTCGGGCAGCAACTTATTGGTTGTCCACGGTTTAATATACTCTGCACATGTTGAAGTAATGAGAGGTCCTTCATGCGTCCCGACACGCTCTACGTTATAAGTATCATTTGCTTTAGCATCAGTTATCTTGTATGGACCGAGAAACTTAGGTTTCAACTTCAAACCTGGACCCTGTTGGGTACGCTTAATTGCTACCAAGTCGTTTACATAGTATTTAGTCGGTTCTTTTCTACGCAAGTTATACGTTCGGCGATTCTCTTTTTGAACTTCTAAAATTTGATTTTTTGCAGCATTCCGCAATTCATTTCGTTCGTCCTGAAATTGATCACGTAATTCTTCTTCTATTAACTCTTTAAGACGAAAATCAACATTATTCCGTAATTTCGTACCGAAAAGCAATTCGAATGGAGTAGTTCGGATACTGCGGTGAAAGGAGGAATTAATTATCTGTTGTAATCTACCGATATGCTTATACCACTTGTCTGGTGCATCTACTGTTAATTTACTCAAGACTGACAAAATTGTACGATTTAGCCTTTCTACCTGGCCATTGGCCCTGGGTAATCCGGTGGTTGTCGTTAAATGCTTTATATTTTCTGACTCACAGTATACTTTGAACTCGTTTGAAGTGAAAGCGGAGCCTTTATCACTTATGATTTGAACCGGGTTTCCAAAGTAGACCTTCTGTATCTCTAACTTACTAACTACTTCTTTGGTCGTCGTTGACTTAGTGGCGTATAGCCAAACAAACTTACTAAAACTATCGATGATCGCCAGAATATGGTTATAATTCTTGTTAGTCGAGTGTAAAGGACCCAAATGATCAATATGATATGTGTGAAAAGGTGTATCGCCTTTCGCAATAGGATGAAGGAAACCTTCCTGTTTTCCACTCTTTCTATTCGTTAATATGCACGGAACACAATTGACGATACATCGTCCAACCTTCGATCTTAGATTTGGTATAAAATACTCTTGCTTAACTTGTTCTTCCGTAACTTTAACCGCGTAATGACCCTTCTGATGGATCATCTTTATAATTTCATTATGCATCGATTCGGGTACTACTATAAGATCTAGACCGTTTTGCGATTTGTACAACATGTTCGACTTAACAAAATAATCTTCGTATGTTGGCTTTCTAATATTTTAAATATAGGTATGAGTCCACTGTCATTATATTGAGCCTTCTGTATTTTTAACGTAGTTTCGCCTGTGGATATTAACATAATAGGATATCGACTAAGTGCATCGACGTGCCTCATTTTAGTGCCCGCTCGGTGCTCAATCGTGTATTTAAAGTCCTCGAGCATCAAAGCCCATCGCGCTATTCTTAATGATAATTCTTTCTTTTCCATCGTTCGCTGAAAAGCAGCACAATCCGTCACTATTTTAAATTCGATACCTAGCAAGTAGACTCTAAATTTCTTTAACGCGGTGATAATTGCGAGAGCTTCTAATTCATAACTAGGATATCTACTTTCAGCGTCGCTTGTTTTACGGCTTAGGTAGTGAATCGGATGAAGTCTTTGATCTTCAGGCGATCTTTGTAATAAAACGGCTCCGTAACCGTGTTGGCTAGCATCCGTATGTAACTCTGTTTCATAAAGCGGATGATAAATCTTTAACACAGGTTTCTTAATAAGTGCATCCTTTAACAAACAAAACGCGTTACTCTCTTCCCTGGTAAATCTGAATTTTTCGTCTTTGCGCAAAAGATCACTTAACGGCTTTGCTATAGTCGAATAATTAGCAATAAATTTACGAAAATAGCCAGTCAGGCCTAAAAAGCTCTGAACATCTTTTAGCGACTTTAGTTCTGGAAAAAGGGCAACTGCTTGTGATTTATCTGGAGACGGATGTAATGCACCGTTTTCTATAACATATCCTAAAAATACAACACGCTCTACCAAAAATTGACATTTCTTAATATTAATTTCGAGTCCGTATTCACTAGCCGTTTGCAATACTCTTTTTAGTCGTTTAATGTTTTCTTCAATATCTGGCGCGGCAATGATCAAATCGTCCAAATATGGAATAACAATCCCTTCTGCAATTTCTTTCGCGAACACGCAATTTATGAATCGTTGAAAAACTGACGGCGAATTACACAACCCGAAAGGAACTTTTAAAAATTGATACTGTCCACAGTGAGTCACGAATGATGTATACTTGCGGGAGTCATTTGTTACATCTACATGAAAAAACCCATTCCGCAAATCCAAAGTACTAAATATTCTTGCATCCTGCAATTTATCTAATTGATCTTCTATAAGAGGTAGCGGGTACCTATCTTTTACTATCACCCGATTTATCTTACGATAATCAACACAAACGCGTGATGACCCGTCCTTCTTTTTTACAATCACTATTGGGCTGGCGTATTCGGAAGAGCAAGGTTCTACTACGCCGTCCTTCACCCAATCACGCACTTGCTTCTCAACGATATCGCGCTCTATCGCAGGCAATCTCCGCGGTCGTTGATAGATCGGTTCCTCCGTCTTTAAAACAATATTCATTTCGACGTTCGTTGTTTTACATTTAGCGGGTCTATAATTTGTCACTATATGTTTAATCTCGCCTTTTATCTTCTCATTCACTTGCTCACCAATATCTAACGAGGGTTCATCTCCTACATTTATGTCAGCTAAAAAAACAAATTGTCTTTCTTTCGTAATTGTCACTTCACCCTTAGCGATAGTAACATTGGCTTGTAGCAACACGTCACGCCCGATAATCATGTCCAATGTCATAGCGGAATTCGGAACTACATATACTTTAACTGAAAATTCCTCGTCGTCTATCTTAATTATAGTCTGGAAACATCCTAACGATTTAACTTCGGCTTGACCGAATCCGACTAATGAAAGTTGAACGCTATTTAGAGTAGGTTCCTTTAACTCATGATAAATTCTTTCGCAGATAAATGTTACGCGACTACCCGTATCTAGACAAGCACGGACTTTTAAGTCACCGACTATTACCTGTTTACATATATCATTATTCGGCGCAACAGAAATACTATTTACTGACGCCTTGCTTCTATCGTTATTTACTTTCTTACTTTCTGCATTCGCAACACATTCAAAGGACCTGTGTCCGAATTGGTTACACTTAAAACATTTTGGCCCTAACGTTTTCGACTTACAGTCTTTAGATGCATGCCCGACATCACCACAGTTATAGCACCGTACTGTCTTAGTTTGGACCTCTGACTTCTTTGATTGTTCCTGCATCGTCTTCTTTGCCGCTGTCACCTTTCCCCGGATACTCTTAGGAGCTTGCGTCTGGTTCGCCTCCCATATCTCCTCGTATGCCCGTAAGCGCTCTTTGAAGTCACGCAATTTTTTGGTCCCATAAAGAATTGCTTTGTTTCGTTCGTCGTCCTGAATACCATAGATGACATATCGTATCAATGCCTCGTCTTCGATTGTTCCCCTGGCCGCTAATTCTTTCATTACTAGGTAATATTCTTGCAGCTTCTCGCCTTTCTTCATCGTCCTCTCAGACAGCATTCGATGCAACAAAGCACTGTCTATTTTAGTGGAAAATTCTTCTTTCAGCATAGCCTTCAAGGTTTTCCAGTTCTTCACCACACCTTCGCTCTGAATATAAAGTTTCGCAAGTCCTGTCAAAGATCGTCAAAGATCGAGCAAATATCAGCTGCTGCATTTCAGTCCATCCAAAAAGCGTTGTGGTGTCCTCAAAATCTGCTATCCATCGTTCAACCGGATAGGCGTCACTACCGTCAAAATTCCTAATAGAGCCTTCCACGTCTCGAAATGTCAGCGCAAAATCTCTACGCCTCGCTGCTTCCCTCTCTTGCTGTATCACTGGTAACTCGTTACGTCTTGCATGGAATCCAACATTTCCTACTTCGTTCACCCCGCCAGTGTTTTCGTTACCCATACCGTTCGCGGGTACGTAATCACTTTTACTACTCGCGTCTTCATCGTCGTCGCCATCATCGTCGGAATCATCATCATTTTGACAGAGTATATGAAAATCCATCAAGCTCTTGCAAATTCGCTTGGCAATATCTTCTTTCAGTCCTCCGTAATCCAAACAAAGAATGTTGCAGATCGCTATCAGATCACGCTCCGTAAAAGTCTCCTGGATAAGTGCAACTTTACCGTGATAGTCGCTCCCTCCATCTTGAAATGTAAATCCGCTGAAACTTCTCAATCGGTTACGGTTTTTCCGGTCGCCTGCTTCGCCAAACACCAATTTATGGAACGCCTGAATCACTTTCGCGGGAGCTGTCGCGATATTTTTCCTGATTCTTTCATTTTCTCCTAAGCACTCCATTGTATTCGGCACTCAAAGAACTGTTCTCGTATCGTAACTTCACTTCTCACTTACACGTCGTGTTTCTCCGTCATGTATATGCGCTGTAGCTTCTGCGCATACACTGTCCTGAGCCTTTCGCGTCTTCAATATGGCGTCCGATGCTTCTCGAACCTTCTAGATCCTTCCTTACATCTTTCCGCGCCTTCCGCTTCCTTCGTCGTCTTCTTTCTTTCTGCGTCCTTCGTCTTTCGTCTTCCTTTTTTATCTCGTCTTTCGTTTTTCGTCTTTCGTCTCGTCTTTCGTCCTTCGTCTTTCGTCTTTCTTCTTTCGTCTCGTCTTTCGTCTTTTGTCTTTCGTCTTTCGTCTTTCTTCTTTCGTCTCGTCTTTCGTCTTTCGTCTTTCGTCTTTCGTCTTTCGTCCTTCGTCTTTCGTCTTCCGTCTTTCGTCTCGTCTTTCGTCTTTCGTTTTCCTGGATCAACGTCTTCGATCACAGATATCGTCCTGCATAGCACACGCCGGTGCCGATGTCGTCGCACACAGTTCCCAATTCTTCAGACACTTTCGACTCATTCATCTGGCACTATCCCGGATGAGCCCCCAAAATGTAGAACTGTTTCTTGGAATGACGACACTTTAGACGATTCGGCGTTAACCATTATGTATTTTGCTCAAAAGTACAAGGAATAATAATACAATGCTTCGCTTCACGTGTACACAGGATCTCTCTCGATCACATACTTATTCTCTACTACTCGCTTATCCTACGGTGGCGCTCGCTTATCCTACGGTGGCGCTCGCTTATCGTGATTAGCCGCACATGGTACTGAATACCAGAGAAGCGCTCCTACAATATTATCATTAAGAACGTTTTATGTTGTGGCTTTATGCTCCTTTTTTTGTACTTCTCGAGTTTTAAAAAATTATAACTATCTAATAATTCTGTGCACGTCTTCATATTATCGATTAGCATTTAATCAAGTCATTTGTAAATAACATGCTTTACATATCAATCGTGGAAAAGGAAACTGTTATTATGCGTTAAATCCAGGGAAAAATAAAACTAATCTGTTATTTATCTCGCAATAGCACAAAGTCATAAGTCGCAATTATGTTCATCTCAGGTCTAATAATAAGTTTTTATTTTCTAAAGAAGTAGCCAGTACGGTCGTTAAGGACGTTCTCCGAAAAATCCATTTTCTTTAGATTTTTCTGAAACTTACAGAATAAGCTTGTTTTAATATTCTGAACATATATACTTTGAAGCTCAGTACTCGTTGCGGGATTAAAAATCGAGATATTCCACTTCAAAGTTGAAACGTTTAACACAGAATCCCTATCTAAAGCTTATTCGAAAGTGGTTTTTTATTCACTGTAAACAAAGTTTTCTTTAGAATTTTTTGAAACAAAGAGACATAAAACTTGATATTACAAGGAATAATATGAAATTTTCCTGAATATGCCTTCCGGTATTTATATTTAAGAAATCATTTAACAAAGTAAGTAACTCGGCTATTTTTTCGACCGGTGGCAGTAGCGAAGGCGAGAGGTATTGACGACTTGGCAACGTCGCGTCGTATACGCTCAACACGTGACGCGTGACAACACAAATAACCTCGTACTTTCTCAGGGTAGCGGTCACGTAATTTCAGCAAAAAATTAATAAGATGATGCAATATCCGTAGCAGGGCAGACACTGTCCATAACCTTACTAACACAACACAAAGCGCAGAGCGAAAAAGCAGCGTTGCCGCATCGCACGGAGTGACGCAGTAGGATCATTTTTACACTCCTGCGCACACGGTGATACTCAACTAATATTTTCTGTGTGTAGGGGCGATTGCGTGGACGCGAGTAAACTTTAGGTTGAGCACAACTGCAGTCGGAGAACGTCCTTAATACGCTAGAAATAATATTTTTTTTTTACGATTATATTCTATATAATTATCTTTTCTCATAAATCATTTAATAAATGTTATCTTTGTCTTTTTTTTTATGCTGTGTCTGCAACCCTTTGTGGTTGAATCATACCTCGTTGACTCGTTTGTTCCAGGTTGCTCGAATTGGAGCGACAGATGAGTGTTCAAGCATAATCGGTCCTTATCACTCGATCGGTTCGGACAAAGTACATAATGATGGAAGTATTGATGCACGAGGCAAGCAATCAGCAGGAAAACAACGCATCAGTCTGTATAGTCGAATCCAAATCTACGTTCAAAAGACGAGAGGATGGTATGCCATCCAACGCCGCACACAGTAATGGCAAGGAATCGGTCGATATCATCTTTGAGAACATCACCTACACTGTCAGCCGTCGTTTCAGAAGAGGTAAGCTATCCTTAAACTCTTTTTGTTACATATTAGATTAACAACAAAATATAATTTAAATCGGACTCAAACTTTACAATAAATAACAATAAAAATAAAATTAAGGCTAATGAGAGTCAGCGCGGGAAAAGGTGCGCATAAGTATCAATTCATGTACACTTCCAATTGGTAAATTGGAAGTGTACATGGATTGATACTTATGCGCACCTGTTAGTGACTCAACAAGGACAGACCGTCTAGCCAACAAAATTGATTTGTAATTATGTGTAACTTGCTGATGATGACTCCAAAGAGAGTGGAAACGTTCAAGATTTTGGAATAAAGAGATACATTATTTACCAATTGGAAGTCGAGGAGGTAACCATAATGTAATCGTGGGACAGAATCCTCGAAATCATTATAAAATTTATATAAAATCTCTATGTATAATCCGATAATTATATATGTAACCACGAGAAATCATT